TTTCTTAACAAAACAAGACAGAGGATCATAGGGGAAGGGAGGGAAAAATGAAAGAAGATGAAACCAGAGACAGAGACTCTTAATCTAAGTTACATGTATCTTAATGCCCAAAGAAATTTCTTCAAGTTCAAGGCTACTTAATTTTACCAATTACAAAGAATTCAATAATGTACAAATCGATGATAATGGAGCAGGTGACTGGCTCAGTCTGCAGAGCATGTGACTCAAACTTGGGGTCATGAGTTTGAGACCCATGTTGGGCATAGAGATTACTTAAGAAAAAATATTTTATTTAAAATTTTTTCAAGATTTTATTTTTTTAACTTAATTAATTTATTTATTTGACAGAGAGGGAGAGAGCATAAGTAGGCAGAGAAGCAGGCAGAGAGAGAGGAGGCAGAGAGGAGGCAGGCTCCCTGCTGAGGGGCTCGATCCCAGGACCCTGAGATCATGACCTGAGCTGAAGGCAGAGGCTTAACCCACTGAGCCACCCAGGCGCCCCCCAATATTTTATTTTTAAGTAACTTCTACATCCAATGTGGGGCTCAAACTCGCAACCCCGAGACCAAGAATCACACGCTCCACGGACCAAGCCCGCTGGACACCTGCCCCTCAATGAAATGTTTTAAACAAAACCAAATTGGTGTCAATGGAAACAATCTGGTTTTAACAATCTCATTAACTCAAGTCTGCTATTTTATTTTTTTTAAGGCAGTTATAAATTATAATATCCTGTGACAGGGGCACCTGGGTGACTCACTTGGTTAAGCATCTGCCTTCCTCTTAGGTCATGATCTAGGGGTTCTGGAATTGAACTCCACATCAGGCTCCCTGCTCAGGCTCCCTGCTTGTCGTCTCCCTCTCCCTCTCTTCCTTCCCCCTGTTCATGCTCTCTCTCTCAAATGAATGAAAAAGTCTTTTAAAAAATATCCTGGGGCACCTTGGTGGCTCAGCTGGTTAGGTGTCTACCTGGGGCTCAGGACATGATCTCAGGGTGCTGCAATCGAGCTGCATGTCAGCCTCCCTGCTCGGCGGGGAGCCTGCTTCTCCCTCTCCATCTGCCTCTCCCCCTGCTTGTGCTCTTTCTCAAATAAATAAAACCTTAAAAAATCCATATATCCTGTGACATAACACCTTTAATTTTAACAGAATACACTTGTGAATGATTAAGTCTTCGAAATAAAGAGCACCTGCCCTAGTGAGATGCCAGCCAGCAGACACAATCCAGTCATGTAGCTCATTGGCTCAGAAGCCAGCTCTAGAGAAAGTCCGAGTTCAAATCCCATCCGGGCGAATTAGACAACTCTTTGTAGGTTGAATTACCTGCAAATTACTTCACAAAACTTTAACTCCTTCCATAGACTGATGTGAAGATTAGATAAAATAACCCTATAAAGGTGCTTGTCACACTGCTTGGAACACAGCAATCATTAGTAAATGATTCTCTAAAGGAAGGTTCCCACATCGCTTCTCATACGTGAATTTTTTTCATGTCAAATATTCTTATTTTTTTGGCTCAAATGCCAACAATTCCATGAAGACTCTCCAAACTCCTCAAAAACACATTGCCCTCTTCCTTCTCAGTATTCCCATGAAATACTGAGTATGACAACGACAACGCACAGGGTTGTTGTTTTTTTTGGCAACACGCTGTCTGCATTCGATTATTTAATTAATGTAATTTGCAACACACTATTGTGTATTTAATTGACTCCCTAACCTAGTTTTTCCAATTTTTTATTCTCCATTTTTTCCAATTCTCAAGAATTTCAGAGCAAGCACGCTCAAATTTATTTTATCTTCCCCACCCCACATTATAGTCAATGTAAGGCATAGCACTGAATATTTTTATTTTTTTGATAAATAGCTTTAAATCAATTATATGTAAAAGTTCCCTCAGGGTCTCTATGTATTAAAAAACAGATCCTTGTCATTGATGCTCCTAGTTCTTAGGTCATATGGCCTCCATTATATTTCCTTCATTTAGGGATGTGCAGATGGCATAAAATCCACTTTTTAGAGCAAATTCATTTTATATATCTGAAATTTCCCATTCAAAGGAGTCCTTAAAAAAAAAAACCTGAGATCTGATTTAATCACAATTCTGACAGTAAGCAGAACATATATTTAAATTAGCTAACAGCTTCCTACCTGTCATCCCTCTAGACAAAGACAAAACAAAACAAAAACCACCTCAGCTCTTAAAACAGTATTTCAGGGGCACCTGGGTGGCTCAGTGGTTTAAAGCCTCTGCCTTATGCTCAGGTCATGATCCTGGGGTCCTAAGATCGAGCCCTGCATCGGCCTCTCTGCTCGGCAGGGAGCCTGCTTCCCCCGTTCTGCCTGCTTCTCTGCCTACTTGTGATCTCTCTCTCTCTCTGTGTGTCAAGTAAATAAATAAAATCTTTTAAAAAACAAACAGTATTTCAGGGGCACTCAGGTGATGAAGCGACTGCCTTCAGCTCAGGTCATGATCCCAGGGTCCTGGAATTGAGTTCCACACTGGGCTCTCTGCTTAGTGGGGAGCCTGCTTCTCCCTCTCCCTCTGCCTGCCGCTCCCCCTGCTTGTGCTCTCTCTGTGTCAAATAAATAAATAAAATCTTTAAAAAGCCCGGTACTTCTGTAACAAGAACATAAGAATATTGAATCCTAGGGGCGCCTGGGTGACTCAGTGGGTTAAAGCCTCTGCCTTTGGCTCAGGTCATGATCCTGGGGTCTCTGCTCAGCAGAGCCTGCTTGCTCCTCTCTCTCTGCCTGCCTCTCTGCCTACTTGTGATCTCTGTCTGTCAAATAAATAAATAAAATCTTAAAAAAAAAAGAATATTGAATCCTAATTAAAGGAGATACAACATTGTAATGCCAATTTTATCCAGTGTAAGAAAAATTTTAAACTTTATTTTGATAAACATTTCAGAATCCCTCATAACACAGCATATCAATAAGCAAAATGTACATATATTGATTTTACACCTATGTCAAGTCCCAAATTTCCAATCGTAGGTAAGCGAATTGCAAAATACAAGTGCCGGTAATTTAACTACAGGTAGTCTTTTAAACAAAAGTAAGTGTTCAGCACTTTAAGTGAAATGAGGCTTTAATCAAAAAGAGACTTAATTCTACAGGGTGTCTTTTTTTCAGCAGTAATTAATTCAATCAAGTCTGTGATTCCAAGCTCGAGTGACAGTGTGATGTGGGAAGCAGACAAGAAGAGGCAATCAAGTCTACAGTGGTATATTACAGTATATGCTGTATTTCTGGACAATCTCTAACTGCATTCGATTTTTAGGACTTGTTTTGGAGTCTAATGAAACAAGAACGAGAGGGAAGAGCTCCGACTCCACTCTTAGGAATGGTACACCATGGCTCTGTCTTGGCACAAAGATACATTATGACACTGATGGTCTCTGATCCACTTCCCACACTAACTGAATCACCACCGGCCGACTTCCTTCAGCTACAACTCTGATTAAGGAACACACAAAGTTTACCCAAAGAAAATTCTGTACTTCCAGTTTTAAAAAGCAGACAGTTCTATAGAGAAGCAACCATTTAAATATCTGAGTATACACATTTACGTTTTTTACAACTTCATGCCTTAAGTGTTGATTTCAGAAGTATCGTTTCATGGACCCAGCATCAGATATTTACACACGTTTTATACAATATAGTTTTAGAAACCGTAAGTTGCACAAAATAATAACATTGTCATCAAATTCAAGTTTCCAGTGATCTTAAAAAAGGCAAATTATAACTGTTCTTGCTCAGCTGAGATACCCAGTTACGGTTATTGTCTAGAAAATTCTAAATTTATGTGAAAAAATTAAAGAAAATCTGTAACTTTGATAATTTTCAATCTTTAAAATGCATAGCTAAAAATAAATAAAAGGGCTCCTCTGACAGCAAGTAACTGAGTCAAGGAGCTTCACAAACCCTAAGCCACTCTTGGAAGCTATTTTAGGTTTTACATAATTTCCAGTCTTAATACCACTATTTTAATTCAGATAAAAGACATGACCTTTGGAAGTCCTCGGCATCAGAAATGGCACTTTTGGACAAGGATCACAGCTGGAAAGAGGAAAAAATGGTGGATCTTAGCACAATTTCTCTCCATGTATGGGGAATCTCATATAATCAATGCACAGTGGAAGCAGTAGTTCAGAAATCCTGGGAAGCTCCAATTTCTTTAGCTATTTTTGTTTTATGAAACAACCTGAAGTAAGCATTATATTTACTTTTCGTAACAAAGGAAAACACAAAACAAGAGAAAGGCAGTATGTAGCATTCTAGTAGGAGTCACCAAAAGTTCTTTTCTTCCCTTGGCTTTGGGCACATTGTCTCATCTTTTTGTTCTCTACTTTGTTACAAAAAATCAAAAGCCAAATCTCTGCTCAAAACAGTCATACTTGAGAACACTGTAGAGTTTGCATATGATTTTTTTCTAATTTCCCATCCACCCAGGCCCTGAAATCTCAATAAATATTTCGCTGAAAACTTTCCTCCCGTTTCCATGTAGTCTGAGTCATTATATGTCACAGGGAGAATGAAAGAAGGCAGCTAAAAGTCACTGAACGTTGCCAGGTTCCTCAGTCTGTCCTGTTTTGGTGGTTTTCTTTTAATCATTTTAATTTTTTTTAGTATGATAAGGACAAAAGCTGTGGCTAGAAATTCACACAGTTCAGGAATATGTTGAAAGAAAAGTTACCATAGTCCTTAAGATTCAAGTAAGTGCTCCCGAATCAAGTATTAGAAAAGCTGCTAATTAGCAGGTGAAAATAATTAGTCACTCAAATCACATTGGCAAAATGTTTGTGGAGCTGTTTCACGAAAGCTTATGAAAGCTATCCAAGTTATTAGAGTCCACAAACTGGCCACTTTCAAGAAGGAATTTTTTTGACCAAAATTTATGCTAAAACCAATGTTCTCAACTCCTTCCCCCCCCCCCCAGAAAAATTGTTCAGTCACATTTTAAGGTGGGGAAGTGTGTGAAGCAGGGTGTTTGAATGGCACTGTACTCTTTTAAGAGCCTTAAAATTTTAGCGAACTGGGAAACCTCACGACATACTTAAACTCTACGTATTTATAGATACGATTTCTCTGAGCTGCATAATATAGACTGGAAGGAAGTGTGTTTTGACCCAAAAGGATACACTGAAATGCTGTAGTGTGACAACATATTCATTAGAGAGTTAGCATAATTTAAATGGAAAGTGTGTATTTTAATAATTCCAATGTTTTGTTATTTTGGCTTAATTTTAACTTTTTTTTCTTTTTCCTTCTGATTCTTCATTTCTATTTGAGAGGGCATCTTTTATTTTTGATCTGTGTTTAAGACTATAAAGAATATGCTAATGCAACTTAATATAAATATAAATAATGTATAAGCAATATATAGGCATACACAGACACAGAGACACGGGCATCAGACCACTGACGTTGTACTTTCAGGGTTCACACGAATAAGTCTGGATGCATTCCTCAGGTCCTGGAGTTGCTTGGCGGGTTTCCCCACGCCTTCTTCAAACCTCTTCTCTACCACAGGGAGGACGGTCTCATAGAGAAAGGATGCATTCTGTCTGATAAAAGCCTTTTTCTCCGGATCCTGCTCGCATCGAAGGCTGTAATCCACATGCTGCACGGCAACCAAAATGATTTCCACCAGGCTCTCCAAAAGTACCATGTGCAGCTCTGGGAAATAGAGCTTCAGGGCTTCTTCCAAGAAGCCCATGGTCTGTTTGGTGAAGGCAACCACGGTATAACTCAGGTTCACCCAGCAGTCATCCCCGGTGTACTGCTCAAAGTTTCGGACCCCACAACTCTTCATCTCCTCTTTGAGCTTGCCCAGGGCCTCTGGGGTCATCAAATTCATCCTCCTCCACATCTCCTCAGAGTTGCGATGTTTAGTGGCTTCGATGATGATTTCTTTGTAACTGTGCAAGGCCCCCTGGATGTCCTTCACCAGAAGGGCATGGATGATGAAGGTGAGGTCGAGTCCGATGTCCCCCAGTTGCTGACAGTGCTCCTTTGCCACTTTCACACACTCGGCCGCGGTAGAGAGGCTCTCCTTACTATCAAACACCTGCTTGCTAAAGGCATCCACAAACATGCCCATGGCTGATCTCGCCCAGACCACAAAGGCAGAGTAGCAGCCACTGTCTGTGCCTGCAAAATCCGTCTCAAATTCCCGTGCGGTTTCAAGAAGGCTGGTAAAGAAGACATGGCACAACTTATGAATGTAGAGTAAAGTGGCGCCCTCGATGCGAAGCTGACGTATTGCGGTGTGCACAGCTGCTGCCCTGTTTCTCAAAAACAGCTCACAGGCCTTTGTGCACTGGCCCAGCCGGATCAGCTGAGAAACTGCCCTTCGTGTAGCCTTGGGACCACCTCTCAGGGAACGATCTGGGGAGAGTTCAAACACCAGCACCTCCGTGAGCTGCCGGACACGCTCATCCACCTTGGCCCTTAGCTCTTTAACAGGAGGTGGACTGGGCTTATCCTCCAGGTAATGGTTTAATTTATCCAGCAGGTCAACAGCTCCTTCAAAGTCCCTCTGGGCAATACAGACATCCAGGTCTTCCGGCAACTCCTGGATCCATTCCATTGAGAGGTCCACCTTCTCCTCTTCTACCTCAGGAACGGCTGGTTCATCTTCTTCTTCATCCTCAAATGGGTTACTGGCCTTGGAAGTCACCTGGGGTGGTGCTCGAGGGGCCGCTGCCTCCTCCTGCTCCCTTCGTCTTTTCTCACTGAGGGCCCTCTTGGTTTCCTCCAGCACTTCCAGCCACTCTCGTTTGATTTTAGCATTTTCCGCCTGAAAAATACGGCTCTCGGGAAACATGAGCAGCTTGAACATGTCCTTCATGGGCGGGTTGTCCTTGACGTTGACCACGGCCAAGCCATCCAGGGGATAGAGGGCGTTGTAGCGGTACATCCCCCGCCGCTGGGGCAGCCAGGTGGCCACCAGCAAACAGTCGTTCATGAGAAAGCCGTGCACCCGCTGCAGCTGGGCCATGTGGTCGGCCTCGTATTCCACCAGGTCCCCGTTGTACACCAGGTACTGCCCCGGCGTCTCCAGCAGGTGCCTGCAGCCTTCCACCTTCTCGAGCAGGGTGGTAAGAGTGCGCTGCTTCCCTTCCTCGCCCGGACCCGAACTGTCGCGGGAGGCGCCCCCGGGAGTGGGGAAAAAGCCTGCCTGGCCCCGCAGGTGGTCTCGGACCCCCGCGCCGCCTCCCCCTTCCTCCCCGCCGGAGGCCGCGGCAGCCCCAGCGGCGGCGGCCGCCGGCAGCAGAGTGAGCGGGATGCTCTCCAGGCTGCTCTTCTGCTCGGTCAGCAGATGGCTGAGCTGATACATCTCGCTCTCCAGGTAGGAGATTTCGCGGGCTGTCTCGATGAACTGCCGGTAGTTCTGGTAGACGTTGCGCTTCAGGTTCTGCGCCGTCTCCTCCGCCAGCGCCTGGATGCGCTGCCGGTGCTCCTGCAGGTCCCGGTCCCCGTCCGACTGCTGCGAGAGCTGCTTCACGTACAGCCGCGCCTCGAAGCCCCCCGACTCCAGCTGCCGCCGCAGGCGGGTCGCCCCACTGTCCGACATCGCCATCGCCATTTCCGTCCGAGTCTCACGCAGTCACTGTCACTATCGCCGCCGCCGGTGCTGCCGCGGTTGAGACCCACCCAAGCCCCGCTGAGCTCCAGGGCTGAGGAAGCAGGATGGAAGGGAGACGAGTACGCCTGCGCCTGGGTCTGAGCTTCGGACACCGCGCCTGCGCAGGGGCCGGGCGCAGAGAGCGCGCCTGCGCAGGAACGCCCGCAACCTACGGCTCATGCGCTGGAGGCGCTATTGCGGAAGAGAGTGGAGGGCGAGGCAGAGGGACGTGGGTACTGCGCATGGGCTGAGCGTGATGTAAGTGTTTGAAGTTAGCGGCGAAGCGTAAAGGCGGTAACCAGTTTCCTGAAACCTCCCTCGAGTCCAAGCCCTGGAAACCCAGGTTTTGAGCCCACTAGCAGGCGTCTTGCCGAGTTCTCTTTTTTAAGCCCCAGAATCTTGGCTTGGGGCAACCTCAGTTCTCGTTCTAGAGCCAGTTATTCCCGAGCTCTCGCGAGACTGGCGGGCCGACCCGAGAGCAGCCCGAGAGCCGGTATCTCCTAGGAGCTCGGCCGGGCCCTCGGAGCTTCGGAGACGCGGAGCCCGCCTAACGCCGGCGCACGCCGCCGGGGCTCCCGGCAGAGATGGATGACGATCTTGTGCTGGCGCTGCGGCTTCAGGAGGAGTGGGACCTGCAGGGGTCGGAGCGCGACCGGGCCCAGGCGCCTCTGTCGCTGGTGGACGCGTCCTGGGAGTTGGTGGACCCAACCCCGGATTTGCAGGCCCTATTCGTGCAGTTCAACGATCGGTTCTTCTGGGGCCAGCTGGAGGCCGTCGAGGTGAAGTGGAGCATGCGAATGACCCTGTGAGTCCCGAGCCCCGCTGGGGGAGCGAGAACGGCTGGCAGCCCCTCCGCAGCCCCCGGCCCTGGGCTCCCCTTCTCGCTCCGCCCCGATGGGCCCGGGGGCGTGAAACGCGGGGTCTTGTTTTGGACCAGCAGCCGCTGTCGGGGTACCTCTCTCTTCCTGCTCTCTCTCCCGCTCCAGCAGCTTTCGGGAGCGGTGTGGCCCATCCCGGTAGCAGTTTGATGTGTACAGGCCACAGTGAGGGAAAAGGAAGTGTCTTTGGATCTCCCCCAGTTTGAAAGTAAATTAACACATTTCTGACCCAGGAGGGAGAAGCATCCAGAGTCAATCGCTAAGAAAGAATGCCGAGGAGGCGGGGAAGCCGCCCAAGGACGTGTGTGGCCCTGTTCCACGCTCTTTGAGATAACACCACTCGGTAGTGAGCTCCGGTGTTAGAAGGGGGACGGGCTTGACGTTTCCATATTTCTGCACCCAGAGGATCTTCGGGGATGCCTCCAAAAGGATGTACACTGAGGTTGAGAAATCCCGATTTGAAATAATCTGTTCTGCACCTGAAGGGGGTTTGCAAGTTTAGGATGGCGTTTATACCACGTGCTTGTGTTCCAAGTGATACAAAACAGCCTAAAGTAAGATTAAGATCAGACACAGAACTGTGTGTAAAGAACCAGTCTCCTTCACAGAGTCTTCTGTTACAGTTTTCGAGTCGTGCTGTTGGAGATCTGGTTGTTAACACAAACTGATTACAGTTTGTAGGGAGGAGACTGGGAGCCACAGAACAGGATTGTCCTCTTTGGGGCCCCTGCAGCCTGGCGAGGGCAAGGGACGCATTACTGTTGACACATCTCACTGGGGTGAAATGCAAATCTCTCCTAACCAAGAAGCTACTTGGTGTGACCTGCCCAAGAATGTATAAGGATTTCCTCTTTCATCTCTATTTCTTTTGTTGTATATTAGGTAAATAATTTTTTGTGGTGTTGTTTTCCAGGTGTGCTGGGATATGCAGCTATGAAGGGAGGGGTGGAATGTGTTCCATCCGTCTCAGTGAACCTCTTTTAAAGTTGAGACCAAGAAAGGATCTCGTAGAGGTATTCTTTGCATAAACTTGATTCTTAGCTGAGTAATTTGAAAATGCTTATGACTGATTTAGACTGCTGTGACTTAACCTGTAATGTAAAACCAAAACCAAAACCTCTTTTTTTGTCATTGCAGACTTTAACTGCAGGGTAAATGATAACAATTACCTTATTTTTATAGTTTTTCACAGCGAAAGGCTTTCAGGTGTTTTATTTGATTTGATCTTTGCAACAACCCTGTTTATGTACAACGTGTGTTGTCCTCTTTTTTGTAAATGAGGACGTTAAGGCTCAGAGAGGGTAAGTAACAGGTTTAAGTTGCATACCTAGCAGCGGAGAAAAAATTAGGACCCATATCTTCCAAGCAAGGCACACAAACTTTGATTCTCTGTTCAGACACTGTGGTGCTGTCCTCCCAGAATATGTAGCTGAGCTGGTATAACCAGCCAGCACGAGCGAGGGCATGCGTCACTAGCAAAATGGAGGAGTAAGAGTTCCCAGATTAAGGTTAGTTGAGTGTAGAACATGCCTGAAATTCCCTAAGATGCACCCAGTGTGACTGGTCTTGCCCCAGTTACGTCACTTGAAGCATATGCATTACAAAGAGGATAGAGTGGTAGAGATTGGATGGGAAATATGTTAAAACATGCTCAGAAATAAAAAAGATGGTGTTTTTAAGGATAATGAAAGGTGATGGGTTTCAGAACAATGTGAATATACTTCACATTCCTGTACACTTAAAAGTAGTTCAGCTGGTAGATTTTATGTTACATGCTTTTTACCACAATTAGAAAAAAAAAGTAAATGGCTACTAAGTATAGAATGGTACAACAGAAATAATTTTAAAAAGGAAGGAGGGATAAAGGAACAAAGTCCTGCAAAGAAAAAAGAGGTAGGCATAAAGACAATATCAGTAGTTCTATTACATATAAACGGACTAAGCACTAAAGACTTGGAATGACATACTAGATGAAAAGAGATAGGCTTAAGGTGAAGACACACATACATTACATGTAGAAGGTTGGAAAAAAGTACACCATCCGAACAATAACAGAAAGCTGTTGTATCAAACTGAAGATTTTAAGGGAAGAAGTTTTACTAGAAAAAAAGGTTAACATTTTAGAATGATAAAATAATCTATTAAATAAAAACACATAATTTGATCCTTAAAGTAATATAACCTTAAGCTACATGAAACGTAAATTAGTAGAAGCAAAAAGAGAAATAATCCACAATCATAGTTGTGTGTTAACATGACTCTCTTGGTAACACAGTGAATAAGCAGAAAAGGCATAAAAAAATTTGAACATGATTAACCTTATGAGGAGCTCCAATTAGAACAGTAGTTGCTTAATGAGTATTTATTATGTAAATGATTAAACACACGAACAATTTTTTTTTAAAGGTAATGGGCGAGAAGAGAATGGGAAATGTGTGGTAATGCTATCAAGGGAGCACTTGCTGTTGGCAGAAAGTTACAGTATCAAATCAGGGTGAGAAGGACGGAGGAGGAACCGTGTGACTCTGGTCTGTACATAGAGTATGACCTAAGTTATCATGAAAAGGGTTCAGAAAAGGAAACGATTTTGCGTGGTCGAGGACAAAGAAGAAAAGCTTCATGGCTGTGTATTTTGTGACTAACGACATCGGCACTCCTCCCACTCACTGTTGAGCACATATTGTGGCCAGATTTTGGACTAGATTAACACTAGTTAATAACAATAGTTAATCTAGTGTGTATGGCCCTCCAAGATCAGGACATCCTCATTTTAGGCGTGAGGAGCACGTTGTAACTGGTCCAGGGTCTTGAGCGTGATAAGTAACAAATCCTTGGTTTAGGTCCCTGACTCCAAAGCTCTTGTCCTATCCCCTGTACCACTTGGCCTCATTACTACCACTTTATAATTGTTACTTCTGCTAATTAGAACATGGAGGTGAGCCTTACAGGACAGACTGGATTCTGACAAGCAGATATGGCAGAGGAAAACTACCCTTGGCAGAAGAAATGGGCATGCAGTGAGCGAAAGCGAGGCCTGAAATTAGGGCATATTGAGGACCAGAAGTAGTTGCTTTTGTCCAGATAGAGAACAGTTGTGGAAAGTAGAGGTGTTTTGGGACTGTGCTGAGTAGAGCCTTGAATCTAGCTTGCATGTGGAAAATGGTGGATATATAAAGGTAGAAATGGTTTGGTATGGTGCCATGGGCCATTCCATTTTCAAGGTATTTAAATTGTACCCAAAATTAGGAACTAAGTTTCTTTCCCTTTATAAGAATAGTTACTGATCATTACTTTAGAATGTAGGAAAACATTTGAAATGTAGAATGCTCTTTGAGTTTGAGTCCCAAAAGAGAGGCATTTACTTAAAAAGATTAAGTTCATTTTCAGAGATGGAGTTGATAATTTTAAAAGGGATGTTTTCATATGACCAAATTAAAATGTTTGATTCACCCATTTTTCTGTTCAGCAGAATTTGATAAGACTACAATTCATTAATGGCAAGTCTAGTTCTTTTGATAGAAATTCTTTGTAAAAACATTACGAACAAGGTTTGCTCTTGAAGACCTTCATGACTTTCACTTTTTAAGAAAGCATTTATATTTTTTAAAGATTTTATTTATTTATTTGAGAGAGAGAGAGAAGGAGGGCACAAAGGGTGAGGGAGAGGGAGAAGCTGACTCCCTGCTGAGCAGAGGACCCCCCCTTCCCCCGATGCAGGGCTCCATCCCAGGGTCCCAAGATCATGACCTGAGCCAAAGGTAGACAATTAACCAACTGAGCCACCCACGTGCCCCACTGACTCTCACTTTGTAAAAAATGTATTCCTTTTTCTTTAGGATACATTATGAAACGGCAGCCTTAAATACTTCTCTGAATTTTGCACCTGCACTTTGGCATCCTTGGTGTGGAAATGAGCAGTAGGCTGTTGTTTTAATTCAAACAAGATTTATGTAAATTCAGATGAAATTTGGGCCAATCACAGGATTTTCCATCAGATGCTATTCACTAGAGCAGTAGATTTTATTGTTTGTTTGTTCTGAAATTGTCACGATTCAAAATCCCAAAGCTATCGAAAGCTATACACCTAGAAATGTTGTCCTACTCCTTCCCTCTCTATGCTGAATTCCCCAACTACTATAAGATACTCTTGTTATTAGTTTCTTTGTTGTTTCGTTGTTCTGTTTTGCAAATTTTTTTAAAAATATTTATTTGAGAGAGTGAGCATGAGCCTTTGGGAGGGTGGGAAAGGGAGGGAGACAACCTCAGGCAGACTGCGCTGAGTGTGGAGCCGGATAGGGGGCTCGATCTCACAACCCTGAGATCATTACCTGAGCTGAAACCAGGGGTCAGATGCCTAACTGGTGCCCCTGTTTGCAAATATTTACGTCCATTCTTATTTCCTCTCCCGATCACTTGACCTACTTCTCATACAAAAGACTGTGTACATTCTTCTTTGTACTTTGCCTTTTTCATTCAAAAGCATACCCTGTAGGTTTCTCCAGATGACTTCATAGAGATCTTTGCGTTCTTTTTTAAGTCTGTATAGAATCCCATGTTGTGGATTTTCCGTAGTTCCCTCAGCCGGGCCCCTGTTGCTGAACACTTATTTCCGGTCTTAACATAATAAACAATGCCGCAGTGAAAATGCCTGGTACACGTGACCTTTCCTGTTAGTCTCAGGATTGCTGGGTCAGAGGATAAGTGCATTTGTAGTTTTGTGAGATGTTCCCACATTCTCCTCCGTGGGCTTTGGCTCCTTTTGCTGTCCCATCGGAGATAGACGGGAATGTTTGTTTCCCCTTAGCTTTCCTTATGGTGTCAAACTCCAGGAGTTCTACTAATGTAGATAAGCAAAAGTGACCTACTGGTGTAGTATTAGTTTGTATTTGTTTTATAAATGAAGTTGCCCATTTTTTTCATGTTTATGGTTTATCCTAATTTTTGATCATTTTACAATTTGGTTTCTAAAACTTTCAGCGTTGACAGAGGATTTTTTTTTTTAAGATTTTATTTATTTATTTGATAGAGATCACAAGTAGGCAGAGAGGCAGGCAGAGAGAGCGAGAGAGGAAGGGAAGCAGGCTCCCCGCCGAGCAGAGAGCCTGATGCAGGGCTCGATCCCAGGACCCTGGGATCATGACCTGAGCCAAAGGCAGAGGCTTTAACCCACTGAGCCACCCAGGTGCCCCTGACAGAGGCTTTATATTTCTTTCTCTGAGAACCCATCTGTGACCTTTGCCCACTTAAAAATGGGTTATTGGTCATTTTCTGTTGACTTTAATAGCTCTTTATAGTTTAAGAATTAATAGCCTGAGGGATGCATTGCACATACATCGTTCTGAATTAGTCTTTTCAGTCACTGTGTTTTCTCCCCCACACAGAATTTTAAGATTCTTATGTAGTTGAGTTCATTGATCTTTCCTTTTGGGTTTCAGTGAAGAGTTAAAAAGCCTTTCTTGGAACACAGAGTTCTTAACCTGGGATCTGCAGAGCTTCGGAGAATATATGCAAAGTTTTGTGAATGTATGTGTATGTAATTTTTCTAGAAAGACAGTTTATGACTTTTACCAGTTTTTGAAAGGAGCCTGTGATCTAAGCAAAGTTAAGACCCCACGTGGAGTAAGAAAATGCATTTTTATTTTCAAAAGCTCCCTAACAAATTAATTTGTTTTCTGTTTCAGACCCTCTTGCATGAAATGATACACGCGTATTTATTTGTCACTAATAATGATAAAGACCGGGAGGGGCACGGGCCAGAGTTTTGTAAACACATGCATCGCATCAATCGCCTGACAGGAGCCAATATAACGGTATGTGATTTAAATAATAAATATAACATTTATTAATTTAATCAGCTTATTAAATATTAAGTAAGTATAATGTTTATGATTTTTAATAGTTATTTATCCAGTAATTCTTGGGATTTAACTAAAAATAGACAACCTGGGTCAGAACAAATACTATCTTTGAGGAATTTCCACAGTAAATGGTAAGACAAGCGAAGAGAAGCTGACCGGCTCGTCTTGGGCTGGGTGTCCCAGCCCCCGCAAGGCCTCTGAGCATGGCTAGGGCGACACTGTACACACAGTGGCTGCAGGCCTGCCCTACCTCTGGGTCATCACAACTGTCCCTCAGCTTTGTTTCCATGTGATAGTCTCCTTCGGTCGCTCCTGTATCATGTGTCGTTCCCATCACCCAAAGTCTTGATTCATATTTCTGCATGACCCTGTCGGAAGCAGAGCCTGGGGTCAGAAAACCCAGGAGTCTGAGGCTGGGGTTCCGAGGCCGCTCCACGGATGCTGGACAGTGGGGCGTCTGCATAGAAGGAGGAAACGAGGGCCGTAAGGACACTTACCTTCGGGTCCTTGAGGATTGAAGGAAAAAAATACAAACGTTGTAGCCCAGTTTGAGTACAAGGTAAATACTAGAAGTTTTTATTTATTACGGATTCATTTGATCAGGTGACCATCCTGTTGGTTGTCTCTTGCCTCCCACAGCCACAGCTTGTCTTGGTTCTGAGAGAACTTTCCCGCCCCGGTGCTGCCCCTCACATGTGCTCTCCGTCCCATGTGCCACTTCCTCTGTGCTGTCACATGCCCCTCGTCTTTGCAGCAGGCCAGGACTGCTCTCTCCTTTGAGTGTCCTCAGCAGCTCCTGGACCTTCTACAGTATTTTGTTCTGCTGTCCGACCTCTGAACACAGGGCGGCTCTCTTGGTCTCTGTGCACCTCCGTAGAAGCTGTGTGGTGCAGTGCCCCCACGAGGGCGCAATGAGTGCGGCATCGAATTGAACCAAATAGGCTATTCATTCCTGCAGAGATTTCCTGCCTTTGAAAGGCATAAAGGCCAGTGTGGTGGAAAATGGAACATGCGCACCTTCTGTATATATTTTTTTCTAGCTGTTGGCTTTAATATTCTAGAGAGCTCATTTAATTATCGAATAAAGTTACTTCAACATCAAGAAAGTGGCTTGCATTAAAAAACAGTCACATAAAGTCCCGACTAGCAAAAGAATTGTGGAGGTGCTGGTGCAAAAGGCCTTTAGTTTCCTCATCAGCGTTTTCACTGTAAGCAAAGTCCTGATATACTTCCTACTGTTCATTTGGAAGAGGATATATTCTTTTATCTTGCGCGTCTGTGTGTTTTCATCGAGGAGCGGTTTTATCGAGTGGACAGCCCTTGCTTTTACAGGTTACATCCTGTTATAACAAACTCCACAGGACATTCAGTTGCACAATTTTATTTTAGTGACGACATCGTTAAAGAAGTCACATCCCCAGGCTGTAGGAGTTACAAGACTTGGAAGCAAAACAGATGCAATGCCCTGGCTGTTTGGCCAGTGAATTAAGTGCAGAATTCTCAGTGTAGGGGGGGAGGGTGTTCCGTACATCTTTGTCCCCAAACCCCCGCCCTCCGGTGTCTCGTGCACCGAACGTAATACACACTGTTGGGCGCGCTTGCCAAGTCACGCAAGGGTTTTGCTTAAGACAGAGAGCCAGGATGAAACCTCGCTGAAGAGTGACCGAAGGCTTCACGTGCTTTCCCTCGGGAAATTCATGAGAAAGTTAAATGTCTTTGGTTAAAAAAAACCTTATCCGTGGATGCTGCTTATCCTATTATAGCTTATACTATTGCAGTAGTAATGGTTATTTAGGATTTATTTAGGGTTATTTAGGATTAGCAATTTTTTAGTGGTGCCCTGCTGTCCACAGGGCCACCGAGGGTGGGGGGGCTCACTTTCCTTTCAGACCACTTTTCCCGTAAGTAAGGTTCCTTCTAGAGGGTGAAACTAAAGGATCCTGTGTAAGGACTGAAAAGCACATTCGCAGAGAATATTCTTTGGGTCAGTGATGAAGCGTTTCCTTTAGGCAGGTGGCAGATGCCACTGAGCACCTTGACTGTGCCAGAGCCTGTGTTAGCCACGAGGGACACAGAGATGGACCAGTTGAAATCTGGGGCGCTCTTTGCCTTAAGCAGATAAAAATGATGACCTGTAAGGGCTCATTGCAAAGACTGGAGCAAAGAGCTGCGTGCATGTGGCGTGGGCTTGGCGGAGGCCGCGTCCGGCAAGGTGCTTGTGCGGGAAGGGGGAGCGTTTATATTCCGTATAAACGAACCCTTGGGCGGTGGTACTTGTAGGAGAAAATTCGGTTCAGCAGTAGGAACAATTCTTCCATGTTACGGCTTGTATAAAATTGTGTCTTTACCCTAAATTGTGGTAATTCTGAAACTTGGTTTCTAAAGCTTTTGGCATTGATAGGGGCTTTTGTGCGTTAAACCAGTTTTCTTTTCTTATCTCAGATTTTTCTCTCTTTAGACAGCTCATGAAGTAGTAGCTGCTGCCCGCCCGTTAAAATGAACCTTTGCTCCGAAGCTGGGGGTGGTGGCTGTCTTCTCCAAGCGTCACCGCAGGAGGCTCACGGAAACGGGGACGGTGGGACAGCAAAGGCTGCTTATGCATTTTCGTAAACTTGCTCACGTGCCTCGTTAACACGAACACGCTCTCTCGCCCAGGTGTACCACACTTTCCACGACGAAGTGGACGAGTACCGGCGACACTGGTGGCGTTGCAGCGGTCCGTGCCAGCACAGGAAGCCCTACTACGGCTATGTCAAACGTGCCACCAACCGGGCGCCCTCTGCTCATGACTACTGGTGGGCCGAGCACCAGAAGACGTGCGGCGGCACTTACATCAAAATCAAGGAACCGGAGAATTACTCCAGGAAAGGCAAAGGAAAGACAAAAGTAGGGCAGCCGCCAACACCCGCAGAAAATAAAGGTACCTTGCTGTCTGGTCTTCCCCTTTTGCTGGGACCACGGCTAACCGGGTAAAGGCAGTGGCGGCCTCTGCAGGATGGGGGCTAGGATGACCTTAAGGATTCTTTCTCCTGGAGATGTTTTTAAGTGTGGACTTAGGAAAAACAGTTCCCGTTTATGAAGTGACGGTAGAAGAATGTGCTTCGCTCTATGTAGATGTGAGTTAAAGTAGAAGTAGTTTCCATGGATAATACTGGAGGGTAAAGTCCCTCTCTCTATCTTGACTTGATGAGTCATTGGGAAACAGAAGGCAAAACGATTGTCAAAATAAAAACAACAATTCAAATAACAATGCCCGGAATTAGTCCTAACTCCACCCCTTCCTATCAGCTGGACTGTACCGAGAGACTTCTGCTGGTGATGTATGTATTTTCATTGGGAGAAAAATGGGAAAAGGATATGACATGTAAGTGCCGGTACTTCATCTTCCAGATTTATCCCTTTCCTATGAAGTTCCTATGAAGTAACCGAGTTTTGACAGGGGACCCAGGTCGCTAAAGTTAAGGCTTCTTCCCTTGGGAAGTTGGTTGGATCCAGAAACATAATAAACTATTGTTCCTGAATCCAAAATGTTGAGAGGAGCTAGAGAAGAATTTACGTGGAGAGATTGTATATCCTCGTTCTGTGGGAGTAGGAGGAAAGGTGAGAAAGTGGGAGCATACTTTTCTCTCTGGAACTAAACTTCTAGAATGCTAGGGGATTTTCAAGGTAAAAGTTTCTTTGCGGGTAGTGTTTGGATGCCGCAACTCCTTATCTGAATAGGAGAAGATGTTTTTTATCCTTCGTGTCCTCTCCATCCCAGAAGCTCCCTGACCTGTGCAGAACGTCCGTCAGCTTAACATAGGTTACTGTATTGATCTCGAGTCAGGAAAAACCTTTGCTTCTTTTGCAGATAAGCCCAACAGAGGTGAGACCCAACTGTTAATCCCTTTCAGTGGGAAAGGATATGTTCTGGGAGAAAGGAGCAATTCGCCTTCATCTGGGAAGTTTGTCACTCCATATACAATTAATAAAACCCAAGATCTTTTAGGTCAAGACCATTCAGCGAAAGCCCTCAGACCCAACTCTAAAATTGAGGTGAAATTTGAACATAATGGTTCGAGTAAAAAAACTCCTCTTGTATCCCCTGTTCTGACTACCAGTCACCAAAATGTCTTAAGCAACTACTTTCCTACAATCTCAGTTGCCAGCCAGAAGGCCTTCCGAAGTGTGAGTGGCTCTCCCACGAAAAGCCTGACAGTCGGGGACATCCCTAAAAACTCGGTCTCTTCTGGTTCTCAGAGAAGGGTCACCTCCTCGAAGATATCCCTGAGGAATTCTTTAAAAGCCCCGGAATCGACATCTGTGACTGCACCCCCGGACGCGAGTGGGCCCGAAGAGAAATTCCCAAGTAAACGACCCAGGCTAGAAGACAAGAATGTTTTTGACAAGTTTTTTATCAAGAAAGAGCAAGTACAAAGCGGTGGAAATGGTCCAGAGTGGCGTTCCCATCCTACAGCTGCGACTCCGAGTCCCAGCAGCCCAGCCAGCTGCCTCAGGATGGTTGATTGTCCCGTTTGTCAGAATGAAGTTCTGGAGTCTCAGATTAATGAGCACTTGGACCGGTGCCTTGAAGGTGATAGCATCAAAGTCAAGAGTTGAAAAGCTTTGAAGATGGGTGCCACACGCCCACCTGTGTTACCCCGCGAATACAGCGTCAACTGCTCAGGAAGCTCTGGGGAGCGCTGAGATCCATGGGTTATGATCTAGTTCTGTTTCCCATGCACATGTATGAGATTGTAATGGAAAATGTTCTGTCGGAAGGTGCTGTATTTTTCACTCTTGCCTCACATATCCTGTGGCCGAGTTTATTCTGCTTGTACACATGCATAATTTTTAGAAACTTTTGTTCTTTCTTGCTCTTAAAGGTATTTGGATCTGTTAATCTTTTTATTTATATACTTCCTCAGAATACTCACTGAAGAATCCTGGCAGGTATTCGGTTAAACTGAGTATTTTTTTATTAATATTAAAACTCGGTCCAAGAACTGTAGTTTAATATTCAGAACATGAGACACATTGACCAAAAATACAATCTAGAGGACGAAGTATATCAGTTGTTTTAGGGTACTCAGAGTTTTGGGGGTTTTGGTTTCTTTTTTTAACCTTAGCAGGAAATAGATTTTCTGTATTTTAAAGAATTTTATTCCTGTCATCACTAAAAGGTGGCAGCAGGTTTTAGGTTAAAGTACAGAAGGAATATAGTGAAATAAAAATTTTAGACTATGACTCCTGCAGTCCTGTAGTCCAGAGTTGAGCGGTTTTCTCAAAATGTAACCAAATGTGTGGGTCGGGGGCTTAAGGAACCGCATAAGTAACATCACAGAGTTACCTAGTTGGTGTTAACAGAGGAACAGTATCTGGAAACAGTATTATGAACCTTAAACCAAAGTTGTAACCATTAAAATAAAAAGGAATACCGTTTGTGCATTTTAAAAACTATACAGTTCTTTCTAAAAACATTCTTTTCCATGTTTTACAGCAAAGAGACAAAGATACTTTTATCAGTTTTCTTTCTGGAGGCTTTGCCTCTGGCATGTTGGCATTTTCCCAAGAGTTTAGTTCACAGGTTTTCTTTTTTCTGACCTTTGTTGCAGCATGACCCTCACACACCTGAGGGGCTACCTCCTAAGTGTGAACTGGACATCGCGCTCTCCTGGGCGACCGCTGCCCAGGTCAGGGAGGGAGCACTGCGGCTCCCACAGAGGGCGGCCGCTTGGGCGCCTGCCTCTTCCCGGTTCCAGCCACAACCTCCGGATGGAACCACCGTTTACATCTCCCGTCACCGCGCGTTGCTGGAGCTCGTTTTTGAACTTCACGAAGCACCACCCTCGTTGCCACGTGCGGAAGTTCCTTCTGTTTCGCTGCTCTGTAGTGGCTGAATACGCCAGAGTCTATCCCACCATTCTGTTAACTACTCCCCGTCTGGAGCTGGCTACGATCTGTAACGCTGCTAAGAACATTCTTGCTCCCGTCTGCTGGGTGTACACCCAGGGTTGGACGTGCGGGGGCACAGGGTGTACGCGGGTTTGGCTTGAGTCAACACTGCCGGCGATGAGGGAGAGCTCCGGCTGTCTCACTGTCTTGACACTACTCTCAGGCCTTTTCGTTTTAGCTCATCTAGTTGAGTGTTTACAAGTTTAGTATTTTTTAAGTATGAAGTTGAAAAATAGTATATAATAAATATTTATAGATAAATGACTTAAAATGTGTGTATTATGTTGGATATATGCAATTATGTACTTTCATAGAGGATAATTTTTTCTTAATTCCGTTTAGGAAATTACGTGCAGGTAAACCGTTTTTGAGTCTCTATGAGCTTCTGGGGCAAAGAAGTGAACAAGATAGTCCATGTCCTCAAGCTTTCTCAAACGGCCTCGTTGGGCAGTGCTATGAGAGCAGATTAATCTGAACCCAGAAAGGGCTCTTGACTGGTTTCTGCTGGGAGCTGCGGGGATTGCGGAACCATCAGCACAGCCAGGCCGTCAGGGGAAGCTTCCTGGAGGAGACCGCTCCTGAGCTGGATCTTCTAGGGTGAGTCAGGGTAGCCTGGTAAGGAAGGATGGAAGGGACCCTGCAGAGTGAAGGAGCACGAGAAAGGCATTGGAGCCAGACCACGCTCTACTGGGGAACAGCCACTCCAAATGAACAGACAGATGTGAGGGGTAAAATGGCAGGACTGCAGACAGACCCAGCCAGGAGGAATTTAGAGGATGGGGTCAGGTCCACTTTACGTTTGGTTTGTGTGGTCCCCGATAACACACATCTGTTGATTCGGGGGCTGCGGTGTTTGGGGAAGGGGGCAGGGAGAGGGTTTGGAAAGGTTTGTAAGCTGTTTAAGAACATTTGAAAAGTGTTTTTATGGCTTCTCTGGGGGCAACATACATGGGAGGAAGAAGGGCAGTGGCAGGGCAGGAGAGGATGGGTTGAGGAAGAGCTAGGTGGTACAATCAAGAGTTGGTCAGTTTTGGGGGGAGGGGCAGAGAGAGAAAATCTTTTTTTTTTTTTAAGATTTTATTTATTTATTTATTTGACAGAGCATAAGTAGGGAGAGAGGCAGAAGGAGAAGCAGGTTCCCCGCTGAGCAGAGCCCAATGCGGGGCTCAATCCCAGGACCTCAGGATCATGACTTGAGTCAGAAATCAAGTCAGTCGATTAACCAACTGAACCACCCGGTCGCCCCGCGAGTTGGTCAGTTTTAAGGGATGATGACAACATGTTAGGTGGCAAGAAGAGGAAAGTTAATTTTAAATTTGGAATTAAATAGGCTTCACTTCAATTTGTGTTAAAGCTTTTGAGAAATCTTGCACCAAAAGAATTGTTAACCTCAACTCTGAGTCATTATTATGAAAGAAAGAGTGTTCTGTTCTGTTGGTTTAGTTTTTTTTTACCCTTTAAAGTACACGTCCTGCACTAGTAACAGCTGGTAATCCTGGGTCAACCTTTAAATGCTATCAGCATACATTCTGGAGAGATGGGGTCGGGGAGAAGGGTGGTAGACTGTATTAAGAACTCAAGTCAGGGCTATCCCATTATCTACCTAATTTTAAATTTGGAAAGTTCTCTGTCTTGCTTTGTAGACTATAAATGTGTATCTAAAGTGGAAAGTACAACAAAAAACTCATACTGTCCCATTGTCCTAAAGCGCTGAGCTTGTTTTCTTCAAAGTTTACAGGATTTCTGTTTATTACTGTGCTCAGTTAGCTAACATGTAGAACATCACTAGTCTTTGATGTAGTGTTCGACAATTCATTACTTGTGTATTAACACCCAGGGCTATACAGGATGTATATATATATTTTTAAAGATTTTATTTATTTATTTGACAGAGATCACAAGTAGGCAGAGAGGCAGGCAGAGAGAGAGGAGGAAGCAGGCTCCCTGCTGAGCAGAGAGCCCAATGCGGGGCTCGATCCCAGGACCCTGAGATCATGACCTGAGCCGAAGGCAGTGGCTTAACCCACTGAGCCACCCAGGCACCCCCAGGATGTGTATTTTTTAAGACTGAGTGATTTGAGAGAGAGAGCATGAACGGGATGGACAAAGGGAGAGAGAGACTCTCAAGCTGACTGCACTGAGCACGGAGTCCAACACAGCAGGACCCTGAGATTAAGAGCTGAGCTGAAACCAAGAATCAGAGGTTCAGGGCACCTGGGTGGCTCAGTCGGTTAAGCATCTGCCTTCAGCTCAGGTCATGATCCTTGGGTCCTGGGATCAAGTCCCACATCGGGCTCCCTGCTCAGTAGGGAGCCTGCTTCTCTGGCTACCCTCTGTCTTCCGCTTGTGCTCTGTGTCTCTCTCAAATAGATAAAATCTTAAAAAAAAAAAAAAAGAAAGAAAAAAGAATCAAGTTCAACCGACGAAACCATCCAGGCACCCCACAAAGCTTACAGGATTTTTTCAGTAAATTTCACTGTCAAAGTGAAACAGTGACTGTGTATCTTCCTGCAAACTTGATGCCTCCCTGGGATCCCGCACCCGGGCGCGCACACAACCTCCTCTCCCAGGGCTGCTCAGAACAACGCTGAGCTCCGTATGGTTTGTTCTCACTGAGGGCCGCTGGCTTCTTGTTCTCCTTGTCTTGCTTTTTTAGCAGTTTGTTTTAGTTGTTGACTAGCAGCATATCTACCACTGAAGTGAAACTCTGATATGACCATTACTATTACAGATCCAATTGCCTAGAGAGTTAAAAGAAAAGGATGCCACGTGGAGGTTAGTGCTGGCTTCTTTTTGCTACTATTCCACCAGAAGGTTACAGGATACATACTTCATCATCATAGGTCTTTTGAAATGAAAAGACTGTTCTTTTGGGGGGACTCTGCAGCCAGATCATTATTAAAGTTCACGATGTTGTGTGCTGTAATCCAGAAACAAGCGGCTGTTGGCTGCCTCGCGTACCGGAGCCAACCCTGCCAAAAGATTTACCCCTCGTTCACTGAGCACCAGGGGGCGCTCTTGGGAAGTCCAATTTCTCAAAAAAAAAACCCCAAGCCGAGGCCAAACCAAATGGACAAGAAACTTAACAACTGGAACAATAATTACCAGTTCTGATCCATAGCAAGGAAAGGATAGGCTTTGATCGCAATTCCTGTGAGAAGAAACAGGGCAGGCCAACAATGTGCTTGTTCCAACAAACAAGGAGTGACATACAGGGCACCCTAACCTCCTAGCCTTGTTTTCATTCCACCTGTCACTCGACCGCTCTGCAAGCAGGCAGTCACCCACACATACAGCAGAACGGGGCGGTTCATAACAGGAAGCCTTCTAGACAAGGCAAGACCTATACTTTCCTACTATTTCTGAAATTACAGTCTGAGACAGAGCACTTTCCTCGTGTCGCCTACAGCAGTGTGAGGGCTTCCCAGGACACCAATACTGTCCTCCGCCCCGACAGCGGAATTGAAGAGAACACAGAGGAGCCTCGGATTGTTGGGTGTGGAGTGGCTGAAACGGCTGGGCATTGTCAAGTTCCGTTTGTGTGGTTTCTCGATGATACTCCCATGAACACCGACTCTCCTCCGTACCTCTCTGAAGAGTCCAAGGTTGTGTATTGCCAGCTAGAACACTCTTTTAAGACCCAGATCATTCCAGGGGTAAGTGTTCCTTGCAAACTAAATATAGGAAAATCTGCGCCTGATGAAAGAAACAGGGAAGGCATTTGTTTTTTTGTTTTCACAGAAGATTCCTCACATGATTCCTTTATGTATTTGTGTACCTTTAAAGTAGCTCAGTAGAGGGGCACGCGGCTGGCTGAGCCAGTAGAACACGCGACTCTCGATCTCAGGGTTATGAGTTCAAGCCTCATGCTGGCTGGAGAGGTTACATGAGAATAAGATCTTAAGAAAAAAACAACAGTTCAAGAGATGAACGTGTGTGTACCTACACATACACACAGGTACAAAGGTTTCCAGGAATGCATTTATTTTTATCTTTTAAAAGATTTTACTTAGAGACCAGGAGTCAGGGGAGGGTTAGAGGGGCAGAGAGAGAGAGAGAGAGATTGAGAAGCTGACTCCCACTGCGCCGGCACCTTGGCACAAGGCTCCATCCCAGGACCTGAGCCCAAGGCAGACTTTAACCGACTGAGCCACCCCAGCGCCCCAGCACCGCATTTACGAAGAGGGACCCCCCCAACACCTGCTCAGTTCCATTCTTACCACCACATAGGCAGTAGCCGCACCTACAGGCTCCACAAGGTGACCTTCTTAGCACGTCTGGGAGCCCTCCGTGCTGCGTGTTGGCCGACCGTCCGTGCCCGCGGCTGGGTACCAGGTCTGTGTGCGCGCTGCCTCGCTGCACACGCACTCACGTGCGCCCACTCTACTCTCTTGTAACTTTTGTTATGTACTCTTGGCTGCTTTTCTACTTTTTTCCAGTGCCCGTCACTATTTTCAGCTGAAATGTATTCTTCTTGGCTGCCCTGTAATTGAATCTTGAGATAATTTTGCCTTTTTCAATTTTTTATAGGTTGTTGCAGGTTTTCTTGTTTTGTGTTTGTTCTGACATTTTGAAAATTTTTTAAAGATTTTATGAGAGCGAGCGAGCGTGAGGGCGCGCACATGCAGCAGGGCGAGGGGGAGCGGCAGAGGGAGCAGCAGACTCCCCGCAGAGCAGGGAGCTTCGACAGCGGGCTCGACCCCAGGACCCTGGGATCATGACGTGGGCTGAAGGCAGACGCTCGACCGACTGAG